TCAGCAGTGCACCATCTCACTGCTCCTCTGTAAAAAAAGAACAGTTCACTAGCAGCCAGAGTCAAAGGGAAGAACACTTTTTGTAATTCATGAATCTTTACCCAGAGAGGCCCCTTGCTTTCACATTGCTACCTCATAGAGAGAGGCAGAAAGGAGCTTGTTCAGAGTGTACTGCCCTCTGTGAGATAGATACTACCTGGCTGGCAGCTCCATTAAACAGCATAGCACTGCACATCTTCAAAAGGCATGATCTATTGCCTGTGAAAGGCTAGTGTTAAATCGATGTGAGTATACTCTGTATGGATATGGAAATAACCTCAAATTAATGATTATTATTAGTGGGTTTCTCACACTGAGGTAGTGATGGAATATTATAGTTTTTCTATCAGCTCATTAAAACTAACTCTTAACAATAATTCATTCAAAACCTTGAATTTTGGAATGTGATCTATTGTGAGCAATAAAAACATTTTTTTGTCCAAAATAGCCTACCCATGGACAATCATGTCAGATATATCCTGTTTATCCTAAATTAAAGACCTTACTGTATGTAAATAATTCATGTGAAATATCACTTACAAATATAGCTGCGAGCAGCAATGAACGGGGTTCACAGGATGACAGAAAGAACACAAGATCAGTTGGATAACAATGCAAGCACTATCATGTAGGAACTATCTTCCTTTATGTGCAATCATGAGTCTTAATATAAAATCATAGAGGCAAATAAATACAAAATCTGGAGTGATGCGAGCCTATCAGATGAGCTAAATTCCTTCTATGCTCGCTTCAAGGCAAGCAACACTGAACCACGCATGAGAGCACCAGCTGTTCTGGACGACTGTGTGATCTCGTTCTCCGTAGCCGATGTGTGTAAGACCTATAAACAGGTTAGCATTCACAAGGCCGCGGGGCCAGACGGATTACCAGGACGCGTACTCAGAGCATGCGCTGACCAGCTAGCAAGGGTCCTCATTGACATTTTCAACCTCTCCCTGACCCAGTCTGTAATACCTACATGTATCAAACAGACCACCATAGTCCCCGTGCCCAAGAGTGCCAAAGTAACCTGTCTAATTGACTATCGCCTCGTGGCACTCACATCTGTAGCCATTAAATACTTGAAAAGGCTGGTCATAGCTCACATCAACACAATCATCCCAGACACTTGGTACCTATGCACCAAGTCTGGAACCAACAGGACTCTGAACAGCTTCTACCCCCAAGCCATAAGACTGCAAAATAGTTAGTTAAATAGTTAACCAATAGCTACCCGGACTATCTGCATTGACCCTTTTTACACTAACTCTTTTGACTCATCACATACGCTGCTGCTACTGTTTATCTATCCTGTTGCCTAGTCACTTTATCCCTACCTATATATATACACACACATCTACCTCAATTACTTCATACCCCTGCACATCGACTTGGTACTGGTACCCCTTGTATATAGCCAAGTTATCGTAACTCATTGTGTATTTATTTATCTTATTTTCTCTCTGCATTGTTGGGAATGGCCCGTAAGTAAGCATTTCACTGTTAGTCTACACCTGTTGTTTACGAAGCATGTGAGAAATAACATTCTTTTAAATATGTTTTTATCCCTTTTTCTCAATATCCAAATTGGTAGTTACGGTCTTATCCCATTGCTGCAACTCCCGTATGGACTCGAGAGAGGCGAAGGTCGAGAGCCATGCGTCCTCCGAAACACGACCCTGCATCTTGACACACTGCTCGCTTAACCCAGAAGCCAACCACACCAATGTGTCAGAGGAAACACCGTACAACTGGCGACCGTGTCAGCCCGCCAAAGGAGTCACTAGAGCGCGATAGGACAAGGACATACCGGCCGGCCAAACCCGGACGACGCTGGGCCAATTGTGCGTCGCCTCATGGGTCTCCCGGTCGGCTGCGACACAGCCCGGTATCAAACCTGGACCTGTAGTGATGCCTCAAGCACTGCAGTGCCTTAGACCACTGCGCCACTCGGGAGGCCCATTTTATTTTATTTGACGTATGGTTCACGAGGAGAAGATGATTTTGCGCATTAGCATTACATCTGCAAAGAATGAGTTAATAGTTTCCTTTTTTTTAGGATTTAAAAATGGACACGTAAAATCTGATTCTTCAATACCTCACCCATCTCTTAACCAATCCCTTAGCTTTTCTCAAAATAAGTTAAGACGTACCATGGGCCTACATACAGTATGGACATATGGTTAATGAGAATACCTTTTTCAAAGGTTTTCCCAAATTTCCAAGATGGAGGAAAATCTGTCCTGATGGACCTTATGGGTCCTTCAGCCAAATTTGTTCAGCATAAGGAAAGACGCCCACATACAAAGTTTCAAGGTCAAACGGGGTGGCGGATATGAGGTTAAGTGAGACTGCTTATAACAGTGCCACTGTTACATGAGCAATTAAGGTTAAGTGCCATGCTCAAGGGCACAGACAGATTTTTCATATAGTCGGTTCAGGGATTTGAACCAGCAACCTTTTGGTAACTGGCCCAAAGTTCTTAACCAGTAGGCTACCTGCCTCTAGCTTCGCTGTTAAACCCCTAAAAACACAAATTGAATGAGCAAAAAGTCAACATATGAGTAAAACCAAGCTAGTATGAACTTTGTCCTGCAATAAGAGTATTATCCAATGCAACCTCCAAAAGGAATAAATGTAAATAGAGCGTTTTTGCAAACCGCAAAAAACATTCAAATACAACATGGTATTATCATTAAAAGGTCAATTCCGCCACTTTTCAACCTCATATTCATTATCTCCAGCACCATACCAGTGTCTACATACAGTATGTGAAATGGCGTGTTTCTATGATCTGTTGTTAAAAAGATAAGGTCATTAAAAAAATGATTTGCTGTGACATCACAGGGTAGGATGAAAAGTTTTTTAAAAAAAGTGATTTTCAAAACATGCAACAAGTTTCTAGCCAGAGGGAGAGTTTTTTCTTGCTCCCCATGTCATCACGAATCTCATTGTGTTTAAAAATCACTGTTTTTAAAATGTTAAACTTTTGTCATCCGATAGAACCTTTGAACTTCATATTTTTTTCTATAAAATGTACAAATGCAACGTTTTCACATATGTAAACAATGGTATTGTGCTGGAGACAATGAAATGAGGTTGAAAAGTGGTGGAGTTGCCCTTTAACGGTTTGCTATGAAATTTCAATCAAATTTTATAAAGCCCTTTTTACAGCAGTTTCATAAAGTGCTATATGTGATCCTGTGCATGTGAGAGTATTGAATCGACACTGCTTGGACATAATGAACATGTACAATAGACGTTCACCTCCACCTAGAGGGCGTAATGTAGAGACAACCACACATTTTCAGAACCGAAGAGTAGCATTTTTTACAACTTTATTTTTTAATAGATCTGTACAACCAAGAACCAAACCTTTGATGAGCCTCGCAAAAACTGACCTGTACATGTTAAATGCTCTGGGCAGGATTGCTTACACTCATTTAAATAATCAAATGATTAATTATCTAGCTAAGCAAACACTTCAAACCAGTCCTACCGACAGAACAATGAGCGGTTTTGGAAGGGGTGAACCAAAAACAAAACAAACAAAAAAACATGTTCCTTTTGTTTCCAGTGTTATACAAAAGTACAGTGAAATATCTTATTTACACAGACCTGCACAAGTCAAGAAATAATTCTGGTTTGATCAAGCATGATAGGAGTTTGGGTGACAGGACAGATGGGTGTCATTTGGATCAATGGAGTAATTAATCTATACTGATTGTGACATAATGAAGCTGGAATCAAAGAGGAGAGGACATTGGTTGAAATGGCTCTTTGAAACATGAAGGGGCTGAAAAGCTCAAACAATATGGCTCCTGCTCCACGCCAGCTTTGGACTCTAAACCCAGCTAGCCATGACATGTAAGTCCCTTGAATTTGTAAGTTATACTGAACAAAAACATAAACCCAACATGCAACAATTTCAAATATTTTACTGAGTTACAGTTCATAGAAGGAAATCAGTAAATTGAAATAAATTCAATAGGCCCTAATTTATGGATTTCACATGACTGGGGCGCAGTGCATAGGCCCACCCACTAGGGAGCCAGGCCCAGCCAATCAGAATGAGGTTTTCCCCCACAAATGGGCTTTATTGCAGACAGAACCCCCCCCCCCCCCCCCCCCCAAACATTTCCTATGGTTCCAGAAACATGAACAGTTATCGGGTAGGGGAGATACAGTACCAATATTGGACTGACTAATAACTGACATTTAAACACCTTGCAACAGCTGCCTCTGAACTAGCAGCATGTGAATCAACCTCATAAACTAACCATTACTGAGACATGGTTCAATCAATCCCACAAAATGTGTGAAATGTATACTTCTCTAGTAAGGTTGATAAAGTGCAGTTAACCTATGTGATCAATATGTATAGGAGGTAAGTCCTTTGTCATGTGGTTTACATGCCAATGCTGTCAGTTTTAATAGTAATGCAGGAATAGTCGAGCGAGACCGTTAGGTAAGATCCATAATCTATCCTGGTTCTTAACTTCAACACCACAACAAGACCAAGCAGAGGGACGGAAGCTGCCTTATTACCAGATCAATCCAATTCAAGTGTGTGGGGACGGGACAACACCACCACCACCCATCAGGAAACATGATCAGGTAAACATTTAAAAAGTGTATTCTGTTCAATAAATGACGAAGCAATTAATTCCTATGCAAAACCCAACAAGACCAAAGCAGAGCTACAGTATGAAGCTTTGAGAAAAGCTGCAGTGTGAGAGACTGATTCTCATGGCTCACTTTCTCTGTACTGCACTTTCATATGCTGCCGAGTGAAGAGGACCGGGACCGTCAAGGGCCCTCCTTTCCCACAGTGCACAGGGGCTAAAAACCCGGGGGTGGTACTCTGGTACCACCCCCGTGTACCAGAGTAAGTGAGTTGTCCGCAATACTTCTTTTTGGATCCATTCAACTGCAACACAAATGTAAAGTGTAATAATGTTACAGGGTGAAGACTATAAGAGGGACGCAGACCTGGGCAGGTTAACATGCATATTAGAAGATAGACTGATTTTAATATAAGCACTGGGCCTATCCCGACTGAGCAGGGCTAAGTTACGTTAACTCAAAGCCGTTCTGTAAGAGTTCCAGGTCAGGTATCAGAGGCCTGTCCGTGGCTGTAGTGTTTCCACACACCAATGCTAACCGCACGGTGGTGTCCTCTCTCAAAGTCCTTAGACAGCTGCACGAGGCCCCCCTGGAGTCAGTCGAGAGGGGGGAGGGGAGGGAAAAGAGTGGAGCTAGTGCACCCCTACCCTTCCGTTGCATGTCCCAGACAGCCAGCCCCATGTCATGTCCCAGACTCTGCAGCTCCAGTGCCAGACAACAGTAGTGGATCTGAAATGTAGTGGTGGTGGTAGTGGTGGGTGCACCAGCTGAGATGCCAGGCAGGACAATGGATAGACGCTGAAGGCAACTAGCGATTGCATGGGGAGAGAGGAGGGGTCAGGTTGGTCTGCTTGCAGGTCAGTTGGAGATCCCAGAAAAGGAAGCCCGTTTGGTTTCTCCATAAGGCCACAGTGTTGTACGGACTGGAGAGGCCAGGGCAGATCAGCAGGCCTTCACACGACTCCTGGGACCCCGGTTCTGCACCTTCTCCCAGTCAGTCACCCAGGTCAGGGGGTCGGAGACAGGAATCACCCCCATCCCGTCCGTTTCCTTGACTGTGGTTGTGGTGAGCTGCAACAAAGCTGAGATCTAATTTTTTTGGTCTCCACAGACGAGGGCGTCAGTCACAACCATGAATCCAGATGCCATCCTTAGACCCCCAGGCCTGTATGTCCACGGCTGTCATGATGAGACCGAAAGCCTGCCAGCACATGAAATGGGGACTGGCTACTGCACTACGTACAATAATCTAGAAACCCCATACTTAGCCCAGTCTTCAAAGCCCAATTCCTTTGATGTCACCATACACGTGTATATATGTAGTTACAGCTGACAGTGAGGTTAGTTCTCCATTGACACTGTTTTCTATTGAGTGGAGTTATACATCCACAGCATGATGAGAATCCACAGGTAAAGTTGTGGAGTGAAACGTCAGGTAGGACGAACATTCGGAACGACCTTTATTTAGTTACAATATAGATCTCTTTTTAAAATGTACAAGTACTTTATTTTCCTTCTTGAAGTTATTTTGGTGTGTGGGGGAGGAGAGGAGGGGAGTTGGCTTATTCTGAAGCAGTACTTCATTATCTTTTTTCTGCATACAACCATTCTTAATTTCTTTTTTAAATGTGGTGTAAAAAAAGCAACCAACAAACAAAAACAAATTATTCCCAAATCCAGTGGTTGTGTTCTTCCATTGAAGTGTTATGGGGTGTTTCTGGAGGGCTGGTGGGGACAGACTCCAAAGATTAGGTGAGAAGGGGTCTAGGAGGGGTGTGGTGGAGCTGAGAAAGGGTTGAGGGGTGGAGGGGCAGCAAGGTTCAAAAGCTGTCCACCCAGGTACCCAACGCTCGCTCTGCCAGTGTGCGGTTCACTGATACCAGCTGGATGGAAACAGAGAGAAAGATAGAAGATGGATTCATCAGATTAGTGTAAAATAACAATTGATAACGAGAGTGTAGTTAGCCAGCCATCGGAATGTTTATCTGAAATGTCTAGGGTTGTTAAATAGAGAAGTATATGAACTCCTTCCTAACATCTCGAATGAGACTGAATGAAACTGCCGCATGCCGTCCTATGGTTAATCGATTTAATTTAATAGAGATTGAGCTTTCAGAAGTTGTGAAGGCACTCAAATCTATTGATATTAAGAAAGTGGCTGGCCCGGATGAAGTGAACCCTTATTTTCTAAAAATTGGTGCTGAGATCCTTGCTGCCCCTCTCACTCATACAGTGGGGGAAAAAAGTATTTAGTCAGCCACCAATTGTGCAAGTTCTCCCACTTAAAAAGATGAGAGAGGCCTGTAATTTTCATCATAGGTACACATCAACTATGACAGACAGAGATTTTTTTCTCTCCAGAAAATCACATTGTAGGATTTTTAATGAATTTATTTGCAAATTATGGTGGAAAATAAGTATTTGGTCAATATCAAAAGTTTCTCAATACTTTGTTATATACCCTTTGTTGGCAATGACACAGGTCAAACGTTTTCTGTAAGTCTTCACAAGGTTTTCACACACTGTTGCTGGTATTTTGGCCCATTCCTCCATGCAGATCTCCTCTAGAGCAGTGATGTTTTGGGGCTGTCGCTGGGCAACACGGACTTTCAACTCCCTCCAAAGATTTTCTATGGGGTTGAGATCTGGAGACTGGCTAGGCCTCTCCAGGACCTTGAAATGCTCCTTACGAAGCCACTCCTTCGTTGCCCGGGCGGGGTGTTTGGGATCATTGTCATGCTGAAAGACCCAGCCACGTTTAATCTTCAATGCCTTGCTGATGGAAGGAGGTTTTCCCTCAAAATCTCAAGATACATGGCCCCATTCATTCTTTCCTTTAAACGGATCAGTCGTCCTGGTCCCTTTGCAGAAAAACAGCCCCAAAGCCTGATGTTTCCACCCCCATGCTTCACAGTAGGTATGGTGTTCTTTGGATGCAACTCAGCATTCTTTGTCCTCCAAACACGACGAGTTGAGTTTTTACCAAAAAGTTCTATTTTGGTTTCATCTGACCATATGACATTCTCCCAATCCTCTTCTGGATCATCCAAATGCACTCTAGCAAACTTCAGACGGGCCTGGACATGTACTGGCTTAAGCAGGGGGACACGTCTGTCACTGCAGGATTTGAGTCCCTGGCGGCGTAGTGTGTTACTGATGGTAGGCTTTGTTACTTTGGTCCCAGCTCTCTGCAGGTCATTCACTAGGTCCCCCCGTGTGGTTCTGGGATTTTTGCTCACCGTTCTTGTGATCATTTTGACCCCACGGGGTGAGATCTTGCGTGGAGCCCCAGATCGAGGGAGATTATCAGTGGTCTTGTATGTCTTCCATTTCCTAATAATTGCTCCCACAGTTGATTTCTTCAAACCAAGCTGCTTACCTATTGCAGATTCAGTCTTCCCAGCCTGGAGCAGGTCTACAATTTTGTTTCTGGTGTCCTTTGACAGCTCTTTGGTCTTGGCCATAGTGGAGTTTGGAGTGTGACTGTTTGAGGTTGTGGACAGGTGTCTTTTATACTGATAACAAGTTCAAACAGGTGCCATTAATACAGGTAACGAGTGGAGGACAGAGGAGCCTCTTAAAGAAGAAGTTACAGGTCTGTGAGAGCCAGAAATCTTGCTTGTTTGTAGGTGACCAAATACTTATTTTCCACCATAATTTGCAAATAAATTCATAAAAAATCCTACAATGTGATTTTCTGGATTTTTTCTCTCTCAATTTGTCTGTCATAGTTGACGTGTACCTATGATGAAAATAACAGGCCTCTCTCATCTTTTTAAGTGGGAGAACTTGCACAATTGGTGGCTGACTAAATACTTTTTTCCCCCACTGTATATTCAATATTTAATTGCCGAGTAATACCATTCCAAAAGTCTGGAAAGCAGCCTACATCACGCCTACACATAAGGGTGGAGATCCTTCCCAGTTGGATAACTATCTTCCCATAGCTAAACTGTCTGCACTGGCAAAAGTCTTGGAAAACCTGGTGAACTCACAGTAGAAAGACTGTCTTTATAATAACTCAGTTTGATCTACATTCCAGTCAGGTTTTAGAGCCAAGCATAGTACTATTACTGCAGTAAGTAAGGTTGTGATATTCTAGATGCTCAGGATAAGAAAAATCACTGCATTTCACTTTTTATTGACTTATCGAAGGCCTTCGACACTGTTGACCATGCCCTGCTGTTGTATAGACTAAAAAAGGTTGGTTTAAGTGTTGATGCATTGGATTGGTTCCAAAACTACCTTTCTGACAGAACACTGTGTAGCACAGGAGGGTATGAAATCTGAGTTTCGAAGGCTTACAAAAGGAGTTCCCCACAGCGCAATTTTAGGTCCGATCCTTTTTACACTGTATATAAACGATATAGGGAAGACTGTTGACTCTGCAAATCTCCATCTGTACGCTGATCACACAATTATTTATTCTAGCACATCTAATATTGAGAAGGCTTTTCTGGACTTACAGTTGGCTTTTGATGTTATGGTTCTCTTCCCTGAAAGTAAACAGATTAGTCACTTGCAGATTTTAACTATAAGGCCAGCAAATTGATAGGGTCACCTCCTATAAGTATCTTGGGATTTGGTTAGATGAAAAGCTGAATTTTAAACAGCACATTGATAACTTGACCAAGAAGCTAAAGTCGGGTTTCTATTTTAGGAACAAATCTTGCTTTTCAATGTTAGTCAGAAAGGATCTTGTTTTTTTAATCAGTGCTGGATTATGTGATATTGTCTATATTCAGGCCTCAGCAAGTACCTTAAAAACTCTGGACACAGTGCATCATGGTGCTTTAAGATTTATTACAAATGCTAGATCACTCACCCATCACTGTGATTTGTATGCTACGGTGCAATGGACCTCTCTCTCCACCAGGAGGCTAAAGCACTGGTACACTTTTGTGTACAAAGCATTGATTGGACAACTCCCTTTGTATTTCTGTTCCTTACTGACCAGATCAGTCACTCAATACAGTATTCGTTCACAATCGCTGCTGTCCTTGTCTGTTCCTATGGCTAGAACTGAGATGGGGAAACAATATTTTTCCCATAATGCCCCTTCATCCTGGAACATGCTTCAAAATATATTAAAGTTAGGTGAGTTGGTGTCCTTGCCTGTTTTTAAGACTCTGATCAACAACACAGTTTGTGATTGCTTCAGTTGTTTATAATCTTCAATTGTATCTGTAACACTGTCTTTTCTGTGTATTTTGTATTTTTCTGTAATATTTTATGTACACGCTGCTATTTCCCTGTTTTGCCTTCTTGCCAGGTCGCCCTCGCAAAATAGGTTTTTAACCTCAAAATCGGTCTTACCTGGTAAAATAAAGTGGAAATGTTTACAATTACACATTTTGTCTAAACTTCCAAAAGGCAAACATTTTCATGCCAAATCCCATGATCAATGTGAATGTACCTCTTCTCCAACCATGTTCCACATCTGGACCAATGGGAGACCAGTGTTGTTGTCGTAGTTTGTGACCTGGAAGAGAGGAAACAGCAGCCAGGTTAACAACCAACTACCTTCTGTGGAGCGTACAGTACAGTGCATTACCGTAGAGTACAGTACAGTGCAGTATAGTACAGTACATTACAGTGCAACAGTACAGTGCATTAGTGCAGTAGAGTACAGTACAGTACAGTACAGTGCAGTGCAGTAGAGTACAGTACAGTGCAGTGCAGTGCAGTGTCTTCCAGCTAGCTGCCTGGAGCTGGATGCTGTATTTTTGTTTACCTGTGCAAGCAGTGCTACCCCTCTCGTCATCTCCTCCAGTGCAGAGTTGGCCTCGGTTGAAAAGCTGTTCTCTCCTGTGGATGGATGTATTTATAGATGTGTTAACGCAATTGACAACAGCAGATTTGACGACCTTCCACAGGAAGGATGACTTTGTAACAGTTTGACATTCAATTGGATTGGTTTCTTGATTTTGGAGATCGTCCTTGAGCGTGAGTAAGACATCTATCGCAATTGTAAAGTGATACCATGTCAAATAGCTAAATAAAATGATATTACCTGGAAGGGGGGCGATGTTATCCAGTAATACTTCTGCACCTTGGAACGGTAATGTTACGAAGTCCGACCTGAAAATAAGGATTTTACATAAGAGCAGTCAGTCAGCGTGTAGAAAGACCTACCATCCCTGCTTTACATAACATTCTGTTCCCTCTAAATATGATACACAACTTTGACCAGAGGAGGGCACAATTTCCAAACAAAAAGGGTTGAATGAATACCTATTTATCTAAACTCAAGTCAATTTAGGAAAGAAATTAAGGAAAATGTAATGAAAACAGATTTGAAAAAGTATGGAAAGATGCCAGTTCTTCTGAAGTCCAGTTCTGACAACGTTCTCTGAATAGACATGAATTGGAGAGAAAAAAAGTGCCCGCAACCCTGAAAACGTGCAACAACTATCCATAGTTTTTGCAGCCTCCAGCCATGTGTCTGAGGGGGGCCAACCTTATTTGCCGTAGTGTGTCGATCTTCACTCGGTCATAGCCACCATAGTCCACATATCGGATCTCAACCTCGTTGGTCTCTTTGTAGAAGGAGATGACTTGGGCTCTCCACCAGGCTCCCTCTACCGCCGGCGCCGCACAGATCACCCCCACTGAGACAGAGAGCATCGAGTCTGGATCACACACACACCTGGTTCAAAAACATCCAGACACACACGTCCCTCCTTGGGGGTCTCTTACCCTCAGCAGGCGAGGGCAGGGTGGGTGTCCCTGGCTGGGAGTAGCACAGGAACATCTGCTGGTCCAGGCTGCGTAGGGCGTGGTACGTAGGGTGTGTGTGCTGCTGGACGAAGAGGTGACCTGCCGACACAATGTTCACTACGATCACCTCCACGGTCACACCGCTGGGGAGCAGGAGCTGAGAGAGGAAACGGAGTTAAGTTAACAACTTTCAAATTAGAAGCCGTAAGGGCAACATTTCATTCTTTAAGTTAAAGCACTTTCTTTGACAAGTCTTTATATCAATTAGCAGCACCTTAACTGTCATGCAAATAAAGCATGTTTGAACAGATTTGAGAGACGGAGAGAGACAGAAAGAGAGAGACAGAAAGAGAAAGGATCCCTGCACAACCCTCCAGGCTCTCTAGGTACCATCCTTACCCAGGAGGTCATGGGCAGCGAGGGAAGCGAGGGCAGCGTGAGCGGCAGAGGTGGGGGGGCATACAGGTTGGTCAGGTCCAAATCCTTAAACTTCTTCCCGATCAGGGACAAGGCTTTGTCCACCTGATGCTGGGAACCTAGTAGTGACACACACACAAATTAGAACAGCTGAATGATACTATCCGGAATCCTATCTACAACCAAGTGACTCATCTGCTCCTTCTGACTGTAGAGGACTACCCCACTCACCCTCTATGTGGCAGATCTGGAACTCTTGAGTGTAAGGCAGGGTGGAGATGTAGATCTTTGCACCAGAGCTTTGCTTCAGGAAGCTCACATATCGCCCCTGTTTCCCAATTAACCGACCCACCAGATGCTGAGAGAGGGAGAGAACAGAGACGGAAGAACACATTACAAGGAGATATTGGGTTAGAATGAATGTGATAAGAACACTAGTCAATAAGTCAAGTCCCTGTGGTGTGTGTGTTGGGATGGAGCAGGCTCACCTTTGGCACCTCAATCTCCCAAACGATGAGTTCAGAGCCCAGAGCCATGGCAGGGCTGCCACTACTGTCCCTAGCCCCCATGGTGCAGCCACTGTCCACCGAGTCCATGCTGTTCACATCCGAGCCTGGACACACACACACAGACCTGAGTCAGACAGGTCTTTTACCAACTCACAATTACACATCCAAACAGGACAGGTGTCTAACAAACTGATAGATGAATTTGTGTACTAAGAATAATGACTAAAGAATTACACCCCAAACACAGTATAAATGTTAGAATTATCATGTGTCAACCCACTAACAGAAGGGGCGTTACTAACCATTCAAGGGGGGAGGCGGGAACTGTTTAAGAAAGGTGGGAGGAGTATAGTGTCTTTGTTGTCAAGAAGTATAAAGAAAGGAGATTTGTGTTTTGGCCTCAGAGCTCTCACCATGGATAAAAATACAGATAAGACTTTTGAGTTGTGGACCTTGAATCATTGATGATTAAAACTAGAGCCTTACAACCTCTGGTAATGATTCAAGCTTAGGGTGAATTAGAGATAGAAATTCACGTGACAGATTGGTCCTTCGAGCCGGATCTTAATACATCTTTATCGTTCTAGAAGACACCGAAACCGTGCACGGGCGGGTGATAGCATCCGTTACAGTCCTGGCCTTCCACGTTAAGGTTAAAAAACAGGCCGGTGATTACTCTTTATGAACGATAAAGACGTTAACAAGTTTGAAAAAGCATTTTAATCCAGACTGCAAGGAAAAGGTCAGTAATTTTTATTCATGGATTTTGGTAAAATGAGTTGAACTTATTTACCAAAGAAGGTAATAATTATTACGACAGGGAGGGTCCGCAATTGATCCTAGAGGTAAATAGCTATTACAAAAAAAAACTAGTCCGAAATGACATGGTAGTGAATTGCAATCACAAATGTAAACTAAGTTAATATTGTCATTGTACGAATTGCAATGTTCAGTATAAACAGGGAAATGATTATCATCGTATGAGAGGGATATGTCGGGAGTTCATATATGCGACTGGGCATTTGTTAGAACTGTGCAAACAAGTTTTGACGGATGATAAGGTCGTATGTGTGTGAGACTTAATCCCTCGGGAGACGTGGTTATTATTTCAGGGGTGGAGGAAAAAAAAAAAGTCGCGTGAGGAAAATTGGGTAATTTACTCTTTTAATTTTAAAGGGTTAATTACAAAAGCAAGAGGGGCACTAAGAGATTAGCTCCTACGAAAATAATTCGGGAGGGAATTATTTAAAAAACAAAAAGGGGGGGAGGGATTTCTTATTGTTCCACGATGGGAAAGACATCTTCTAAACAAGTCCGATAATTAACGGGAGATGAAAGAAATATGTTTTAGGGATCCATTTGGGAGAAGAGGTATGAATTTATTGGGCATCGAAGTAAAAAAGTTAGTAGGCAGATGCATATAAAATTAGATGAAAAAACAGCGAGGGTATGGCTTTATGAAGCGCGAAGGAGAGAGAAAGGGATATACAGAAAAAAGGAAGTTTCAGGACCCCCCCACAGCAAAGAGCAGAGAGGTTATATCCAGAGTTGGTAGAGCAAGCCCAGATGACACCGTTGTCATGTGTAAAAGAAGATTAGGGGTGATCCCCGTACTTCCCCCACCATATGACGGCCAAGCCGGAATGTTGGAAGGGCGGGAAGACGGGGGGCAGAGTAAAGAGGCCAGCAAAGAACAAAGAGGGGGAAGTTTTACAACAGGAGATAGTCAGGTTAAGAATAGAATTGGCTAAAAACACCACAAAGCGATTATTTGAGAGGTACCTATATAAGTCCAACGATGTGGTCCTCTGTAGCTCAGCTGGTAGAGCACGGCGCTTGTAACGCCAAGGTAGTGGGTTCGATTCCCGGGACCACTAATAAAAAAATCTAAAATAATTTAAAAAAAATGTATGCACGCATGACTGTAAGTCGCTTTGGATAAAAGCGTCTGCTAAATGGCATATTATTATTATTATTATTATAGAGAATATTTGCGTTTTTGGTCAGTTGGCAGACGCTCTAATCCGGAGCGATTTGAAGAGCCAATAGTGCTTTGCATGGAACTATTCTGTCGTGTTGGGCATTTGAATGGCAGAAGATGGAATATGTGTGTATGAGGAAATTCAACGGCGGGTATGAATGATAACCGGATACTACTTAGTATTTGGTTGGTTAAATGCTAAATAAAAGATTTGAGGCGTGGTTATGGGGGAACTAGGAAGACGCACTTATTCAAAAAGGAATGGGTGGAGAGAGAGTTTTTTACGTGTATTAAAAGTTGCATTAGATAGACATATCTAGAATATTACTAAAGCTATGAAAATATGTTATAAGTACTAATGACATTATTTCTTAAGAAGGAAAATTGTAGGGAAGTTTCCCGCGCCTCCCCATAATGTAGGAAGGAGCAGGGAAGGGGGGGAGTGAGAGACAGGACATCGTTCAAATGGTAGGGATGTCATTAAGTGTATGCTGATAAATAATATCAAGCGTTTGTTTTATTGATTGGGGCCGAATCAGAGAAAACTGTTAAAGATATTGAATAGCGAACTGAAAATGAAAGGCATAAAATACAGAATAATTGGACGATTTTAAAACGATAATTTATTTTGGTTAGGAAGCAAGTGGCATTGGCTGTTGTGCTGGGGAAATAGCGCCAGCCTGTGGTGGGTTCTGGATTTGTTATAAACAACTTTATATTTTAAACTAAAATGAATAGACTACAATTTGAACATCAGAAAAAGGACAATATAATTCGTAATAGTTATTATAATTATTATTGATAGTTATTGCAGTTATTATTATCCTGAGTGGCGCAGTGGTCTAAGGCACTGCATCGCAGGGCTAACTGTGCCACTAGAGATCCTGGTTCGGATCCAGGCTCTGTCGCAGCCGACAGCGACCGGGAGACTCATGGGCGGTGCACAATTGGCCCAGTGTCGTCCAGGGTAGGGGGGAAAATGGCCGGCAAGGATGGAGCTCAGTTGATAGAGCATGGGGTTTGCAACGCCAGGGTTATGGGTTCGATTCCCACGGGGGGAGGCCAGTAAAAAAAATAAAGATAAAAATAATACAAATGTATTCACTAGGTTGCTCTGGATAGGAGCGTCTGCTGGGTGACTAGAATGTAAATGTATTATCATTGATTCAGTAATGATAGGAGGGAAGTAGCGATAGAGCTGTGAGGGTTGAGAGTTGAGGAGAATGATTTGTGGCTCTGGTTGGCGGGAAAAAGGAGAGGCAGAGACATACTTAGAGAGACAGAGGAAGTTAGAGGGAGAGAATAAAAGAAAAAGAGAGAAGGAGACTGTTTAGGTTTGAAAAACAAGCAGGCTGAGGGACAGAGATAACAGTTTCTGGAGCTTGAAAAGCAGAGACTAACAGAGTAAGAAAAGGAACAGACGAGAGCAGAGTATTTAATGGCCACTAGGGGAAATAGCTGGGATCGGTAAAACTCTAAGATAGAAGAGGAGAGAGATTTACTAGGGGGTGGATCAAATAATTGATAACGGATCATTTGAATGAGATCACATGTAGCAGATTTAGAGTAATCAATTAAATAATCATTGTATACTCTAGGAATTTTGAGGGATTTTATGAGGTTAGGCATATTTAGGTCATTTTTCAATTGGGTTTTTCAAATAAAATAAAAACACACCCAGCATGATGTTTATAAAGGGTTGTTATGTTGAATTTAGGGAATTTTCAACAGTTCATAGGTGGTGTTTACTATGCTGTGGGATGGAACGGTTTATTGGGTGATATTTGAAACTAAATTCATGGAATAAGCTGCAGTAATCAGAAGAATGTACAATCTAAGGCGAGACAACTATTGCCTAGATCATTGATTTAGCAATAGGGTCAGGTAGATAAGGAAAATAAGAAAACAATTAGATGAAGAATGATGAGCTTTTTGGTAAGGATAGACTTCTGTAAAGCTAAGGTCGTCATTATGTACTGCATACGGGTAAATCAAGTGATCTTATCTACGGGAAGGCAATGGCAGCCCATGGTAAAATCATTTGGAACTCTGAGGAGGAAGAACAGGTTATGTTGTTGCTCTCTTCCCAAACAGTCTTAGCTTTTAATAAATATATCAGGGATGTTACCCAAATGGTAGAGAGTAACGAGGGATATGACATTGGTAGTGATTTAAAGATGATGAAGTTTTTTGGTGGGCTATTAGATATAACTGGGTTAATCATGAACATAGAGATTTTTATTCTTTGTTGCTAGACAGAAGACTTAAGTGACTTACAAAACAGACTTGTCATGTCCAACAATCAGTCTTCAGGTCAAGCCCGGGAGAGCCGGGGTAGAACAGAGGTTGAACTAAACATAAGTGTTTTTACAAGATAAGAGATTGTTTGATTGGATTACTAATTGATTCTGAACTGAATGAAAGTCAAATTTAGCCGCCATAAAGAGAAAGGAAGTGGGAGGAGCAATAAAGAAGCAAAAAAGAATCTAAAAAATGAAAGGCATGGCAATTGGTTGATAAATAATCTAAGGGAATGTTTAGGAAGGTGGAAAAAATTGACACATAAGCAGAACTATGTGTCAAGAGGGGGGAAGAGGCTAATTGTATTAGATAATATACGAAGGAGAGGACAAAATACTTTTAAAAAAAAACATTTTTTAGATAGTCTAAAAAGAGAATGCAGTCAGAAATTGTTACATTAATCTGAACATGTGTGAAGATAGTTTATTAACCACACCCGTATGTCAGAGGTTTTGTGCCCCACAGGTGAACTAAAGGAGAAGGTGACCCACTATCTAACCAGGTGACTGGTGAGCATCCAGTCACTAGAAGGAAAACTGGAAGCAGGCCTGTTGGGAAGGGCCCTATCAGGTTATGTTGGTCACCACCTTGGCCATTAGAATAGCAGAGAGAGGAACCTGGGTCCATGTTACCCACTGCAAGAAGGTAAGACCACATACAAGCACCGCTTAGCACACGCAGAGTTGACGAGCGGAACTGCGCCACAGGGTGCGGGGGTCATCTCTGTCAACGAAGATCTCCTACCCAGACCTATCATCACTGTAGTGTGTTCCTAGGGTGTGAGTATGGGGTGGTACCGAGCAGAAGGACTCAAGACAGGAGAGGGTTGGGTTTTTTTTTTGTTGAGAATATGGGTGACCCTGAGCTGCATCATAGTCTCGGCAATAGTCGTGGTAGGTCAAAATCCACCACCACCTCACACCAATTACGCTATGGCCTTACCATTATTAAGAAATAAAGGGAAAGTGACCCGACATACTGACCATCAAGGGCGAGTGATCTACAAAATAGGAGTCAGAGAAGGGTGGGGAGTAAGATTCAAAATTATGATTAGGGATCTTATCAGAGCGGATAAGCAAGCAACATGGGATTATAAGATCCCGTTGTATTTATGTTCAGCCCCTCAGCGGATTGTTCCTGGGCTCAGGTATTCAGACATACTGGGGGAAGGAGATATGAGACGGGGGGGGGCTGGACGTCCAGATGGAGGATAAGAAGGTATAACGACATCCCCACGGAGATGGTAGTAACAATAGTAAAGGTCGCTAAAGAGGACATGAAAAGAACTTACTGGGCTTGTGCGGACGTATACGGACGGGATACTTGTCTAAGATTATATTTGATGGAGTCAAAAGATATAGAGGGAGCAGGTACTGGCATTAATCCATTAATGACAATAGACCGAGTAAATCAGTCAAGGGATGACGGAGTCAATTTGACTAACCCGTCCACTATGAAAGATTTTCTCCTCCAGGAATGGAACAATGGGGAAGTGGAGGGGGTCCCTGATGAGAATCTCTGGTTAAAGTGGATGAAATACACCGCTAGGGCCTTGGGGGAGACAAATTGTTATGCATGCTCCATTGGGTGACCAGCAATGTTGACCGCCCCAATGCCAAAGGCGATGTTTCCCTGTGTATTAGACCTGGGGTCCAATCAAAAAGAGCCAAATTGCACAGGGATTGGGCTGGCAAAATTGACATACTCGGCCAGCCCACCTAGATTCACTTTAACTCCTGGCGAATACCAGTGTTACATACATAGAAATGGCACCCGTAACTTGGGTGATTTTGATGGCTGTAAGGAGATAATTAATGTGACTGATTTAGATAAGGAAGGAAGGGAAAAAAGATTAGGAACCTAACCATCCCTTTGACTGATGTGTGGTGGGCATGCACTAAACAGGGAGCATTCGGCAGACATTACCAGAGGGATGGGTGGGTACTTGTGTACCAGTATTGTTGGTCCAACCTGTAAGAATTGGTCATCAAAGACCAGTGACAGGAAGAATAATTAGGAGAAAAATAAATAAGTCAGGAATGAAATAGCCCAATTTGGATAGATGGTATAGGCATCCCCAGGGGTGTTCTAGACGAATACAAAGCTATAAATCAAATATGGGAGAGTTTTACTACAAAATGTTTCTGGTGGGGGACAAACAAAAATATGGATTGGATAAATTATATCTATTACAACCAACAGCGATTTATTGACAAGACTAGAGATGCAGTAAGGGGATCTCTGAGCGATTATCCGCCATCCCGCTCGTAACTTAGTAGAGGTTGGTTCTAGATCAGGCAGAAAGGGCCGGTGTCTATAGAAAGATAAGCCATTGTTGCATATTTATCCCTAACAACACCACACTGGATGGGACAGTCACCAGAGCTCTTACAGAATTAACTGCACTGAGTGAAGGATGAACTGAACTCAGAAGTTAGTACATTGTGGATAGGGTGGTTTGATGAAATATTTGGTAAATGGAAAACCCTAGCAGCCACCGTCTTAGGAGCGATCAATGTTTGTATGGATATTCTTGTATTATGTGGTTGTTGTCTTGTTCCCTGTGTCCGAGGATTGGTGAGTCAGGCGTTGGTGAAATGCAGTATCTAAACAATGATGAGAGATGGACTGACTCCGGACTCTGACCAGGGGAATGTGAAAAACAATCCTCCAGGCTTGGTGGATGACGAAGATTTGGACCCTGAAAGACCGCAATTGGATGAAATGTTTATTAGTTCTGATGTGATCTCTGAGATTAATCATGCTTGTAAAATACATTTATCCTGAATGTGGGAATATTTAGTCAAAGGGGTGGATTGATAGATGAATTTGTGTACTAAGAATAATGACTAAAGAATTACACCCCAAACACAGTATAAATGTTAGAATTATCATGTGTCAACCCACTAACAGAAGGGGCGTTACTAACCATTCAAGGGGGGAGGCGGGAACTGTTTAAGAAAGGTGGGAGGAGTATAGTGTCTTTGTTGTCAAGAAGTATAAAGAAAGGAGATTTGTGTTTTGGCCTCAGAGCTCTCACCATGGATAAAAATACAGATAAGACTTGTGAGTTGTGGACCTTGAATCATTGATGATTAAAACTAGAGCCTTACAACCTCTGGTAATGATTCAAGCTTAGGGTGAATTAGAGATAGAAATTCACGTGACACAAACATATACCCTACACACACACACACACACACACACAACACGCCTGGATAAATACATGTTAAATAAAACAAAATAAACAGATACACCTGTGCACATTTACACACACACACACACACAACTCAAAGTTGAACACACATTCACCAGATCACCCAGTTCACACACATAAGTAATTGAGCTGTTACTCAAACAAATCACACACAGGGCATGAGGCCACTAACTGACATTAATCCAAAGTCCACCCACACGTGCACACACAACCATGGCTCTTACCAGGCATATCTGATCACAGTGCTGCTCTAACAGACCAAAAACACAATGACACCCTCACTGGACTGTTATGAGTTTTCACCTTCTGTGTGACTGTGACCGCTAACCTTGTCAGGAACACCCAGCAGGCTTTAGGTGTGGTTCTTCCTATTGTGACATCACAACTTGCCCCCTAAGCAAAAGGTATGGCTCCCCAAACACAGCTACAGTCCCTATAGCCTCGGGTGGTATCTGGTACAAACACAGCTACAGTCCCTATAGCCTCGGGTGGTATCTGGTACAAACACAGCTACAGTCCCTATAGCCTCGGGGTGGTATCTGGTACAAACACAGCTACAGTCCCTATAGCCTCGGGGTGGTATCTGGTACAAACACAGCTACAGTCCCTATAGCCTCGGGGTGGTATCTAGGGGTGGTATCTAGTACAAACACAGCTACAGTCCCTATAGCCTTAGGGTGGTATCTAGTACAAACACAGCTACAGTCCCTATAGCCTCAGGGTGGTATCTAGTACAAACACAGCTACAGTCCCTATAGCCTCGGGGTGGTATCTGGTACAAACACAGCTACAGTCCCTATAGCCTCGGGGTGGGTATCTGGTACAACACAGCTACAGTCCCTATAGCCTCGGGGTGGTATCTGGTACAAACACAGCTACAGTCCCTATAGCCTCGGGGTGGTATCTGGTACAAACACAGCTACAGTCCCTATAGCCTCGGGGTGGTATCTAGTACAAACACAGCTACAGTCCTATAGCCTCGGGGTGGTATCTAGTACAAACACGCTACAGTCCCTATAGCCTCGGGGTGGTATCTAGTACAAACACAGCTACAGTCCCTATAGCCTCGGGGTGGTATCTAGTACAAACACAGCTACAGTCCCTATAGCCTCGGGGTGGTATCTAGTACAAACACAGCTACAGTCCCTATAGCCTCGGGGTGGTATCTAGTAGAAGAGCATCAAAGGACTAACTTCATCCTACACTATGATGGGTAACTAGCCACCAGCAAAGAACATTTAGCTGAGAATATTATCACCTCAACTGAACGCTTTTCTTTGCTGGTGGCAGACTAGCTAATAGTCACAATATGATTCTGCAAACATTTCTTAGATGGGCAACTTGTTTGGCCCACTTCAGTCATTTACTCTTACAGCTCCTATTTGGCGATCTCTTTAGCTGAAATTGGAAAGCTACAGCACAGAAGCAGAGACAGTTCAATACCCTACCCCCAATTCACACACACGTGCCTACTTCTGAATAGTGTTATTTTGCCAGATCTAAGACCAAAGCTGGTGACTTTCCAAATGATTAACACTTAGTCCATGCAATCAAACATTTCACTCAGCTTTTTAATGTTGCTAGATGTAAATCTAATGTTTAACAAAGGGCTCTCTGTGATGACACAGAAGGCGCTCTTGTTCTGCACTCAGTTTGCCCCCATGTCTGGAGAAAAATAAAAGGCCTTACGACAGAAAAGTGTCCATGAGTGTGTGTGTTCTGAGCCTCAAATCACACGCTGTTTGGGAATTTGAGCAATTTAGGGGAGCCATGTGTAGATCAGTGCTGGGGTGTGCTATGAGCCCGACTCCACTACAGGGTGTGGTGTGGTCTGTAGTCCTACCTCCAGACTGATCGGTCTCAGTCTCACTCATCCCGTGAGAACCGTTCCTCAGACCCATGCCATTGAGCCTCTTCACTTCGCCAACAGCCCCAAGCACGTGGCCTGGTAAGGCTGCCATCACCTCTGCCACTACCTCTTCTGAGGCCTGGCGCAGCCCACCCTCTCCCTCAGACATCCCTGACACCTGGATCAGATCCTCTCGGCTCTCCCTGCTCTGCTGGTCCTCACTGCTGACCCCATCCTCAGAGTGACACGTACTGCAGGCTGAGTCCTCTGCCACCATCACCCCCTCGTCTCCCTTCAGTTTGTCCAGGTTTCTAGGTCCGCCGCTGGCCTCTTGCCTCCCCTCCTGCAAGGACGCTGCTGTTGACCAGGGGTTATTCAGTGCCTTCTCTGTCCCCATTGGCTCCCATGCCGTGGCGGGCGGGCAACCGTTAGGCATCCCTTCTTTCTGCTGCGCTCTCCACTCCGTCTCGGAGTGGCTTATTGGGGAGGGCCCTTCCTCCATGTTCCTTATGAGTGGCTTTTGCTCAGAGCATGGCCTCCCATTGGCCAGCGGGGTGCTTCTGCAGCAGGGCTCGGCGGTGGATTGGCCGAGCCAGGTCTCTGGACAGGAGGTAACACTGAGGACCTCCTGGGTGGCTGCCCAGATGACCTCAGTGATCAGACCTGCTGCCAGGTACTCCAGCTCCTCACTGCTGCTGGGGGCCCAGTTCTCCTGCTGGGGGTCTTGGGCCGGGAAGGCCGGAGTACTAGTCACAACAGCATGGTAGGAGCCCTGCGATGATGTGGGGGTCTCTGGGAAGAGGGGCTCATGTGTGACTACTTTCAGGGCCTGGGCCGGCGTCTCAGCTGGGACGGCATGCGAGGAGAGCAGCTCATCTTTGGTACTGCTGGTGGGGACCGGGAGGGCATCTTTAGCCACCAGCTCCACTTGCAGGTTCTGGGTGAAGGTCACTGCTGCTACCTCTCCCTCTGGCTCGGGCCTCTCTGCATTCGTCAGGTCTGCTGCTGTGGAGGAACTAGTTGTGGCGTGGGACGTCCGGGAGAGTACAAGTGCTTCTGATGTTGTGGCGATGGCCTCCTTCACTGGAGCCGTGACCTGCTCGGTAACCGTTGATTTCACTGGCTTTGTAACAAAGGCATTGCCGGCTGGCGGGCTCTGTCCAGTGGCCCCGTGTTCTCCCTGGGGAGCCGAGCTCTCCTTCCTGGTCTGTGTTGGTAAGGTTGAGGCTGTGGGAGAAGAACTGCTCCTGGGTGTCTGTTGGCACCTATCTACACCAGGGTCTGCGACTGCGTTGGCTCTGTCTGGGTGGTGGGAGGCATCTAGCCTCTCTGTTGGTGAACAGGATGTACTCTGTACCTCTACTGCCTGGGCCTTAGTGGCTGGGATGTGAATCTGTGCTACTACCTCCTGTTCTGTTGACCGTTGCCCTTTGGCCTTGGGTGGTCGGACTCTGCTGCTGGCTGTTCTCTCGCTGCAGCTGCTGCTGGTTGTGGGGGTAGTGGCTGTGGCGCAGAGGGACACTGTCCCTTTCTCTACCAGGCCGTTGCTGCCATCACTGGGGGCCGGGGACACCAGCAGCCCCATGGCCGCTGCCCCCTCCTCGCTGTCGTGGTTGGCGATTCGCTCTTTCTTGCGTGAGATGTACCACCACCAGCCTATAAGCGCCAGCACTCCAGGCAGCGTGTACGGGACAATAGACCGGAACCTCAGTGGCATCTCCTCAGGACCCTAGCAGCTACACCTGTATGTGGGGGGGGGGGGGGGGGGAAGAGAGAGAGAGAGAGAGGCTGAGGTTAGCTTATTGGAGTCTTTCAGTTTCACTCATTTGGAGTTCAGGGCTAGTGTTAAATAGGATATTAAGTTAAGACAAACTGGCTAACATTTTGAATAGCCTATGTGTCTCATTTGACACTTACCCTATAAAATAGGCCTGCGAGTTGCATAATACCTCTGGGTATTATGATAGTGTAAAGACTATAGCAGGTATTATATAGTGCTGTAGTGTGTGCATGTGTAATCACACCCACAGCAACTAGAAGGGTGTCTGAGAGGCAAATAGAATCCAAATGCATCAGCCCTGTTCACACAGCTCTGACAATAAGCATCAGCCCTGTTCACACAGCTCTGACAATAAGCATCAGCCCTGTTCACACAGCTCTGACAATAAGCATCAGCCCTGTTCACACAGCTCTGACAATAAGCATCAGCCCTGTTCACACAGCTCTGACAATAAGCATCAGCCCTGTTCACACATCTCTGACAATAAGCATGGCACTGGGAGAACAAAATGTGATGATCATAAGGAAACTATCCTATGGTGGCCTTGCCCAAAAGACTTCAAGGAAATAAATGCTCTAAAAACTAGCATAGCAGTTAACAGGTGCAAGCAGAGCTTCAAATAAACTACAGAAATGAAACCTGATAAGGCATTACTCCTGTGAAAAGGCCTTGACTAACAAATGACTTATAGTAAAGTAATGAATTAATTCCTGCAAATTTACCACAAGCCATCTCGATCTCATGCCACACAACTTCAATTGTTGAGCTGCACAATGCTTTGGGATGCATACGGCACTGAAGACAGAGCACTTTTGTCAACAGCTCCTGGTGAAGAAAGACGCAGCGGCCTGAACCTAACATACTCGTTTTGACTGTGGACCTGAATGAACATGCACTAATATGCCTGTAAAAACCTGATACCGGACATAGAAAACTGTGGTGTGACCGATTACCTCGTTGAGATAACTTCAAAAGACAGAAATTCCCATTCCTGTGGCTTCAAAGTAGTATTTGTTTCTACTTCTGAACCAAAACAAGCTGCAACACAAATATCTAGTTCCTAGCAGGAGGAGAAGCTGTGCCACCATCAGGGATAATGTTTAGCCTCCCTGTACCTACTGGGCATGCCCAGCTCCTCCACTGCTGATTGGTCGAAGCACTCCATGTAAAAAAGGAAGTCTGTGCATGCCTTTCCTTAACAGACCCAGAGCAGGCCCAGCCTGTAGAAGGAAGGAATGCATCACAGAGGTGACTCCCTCGCCTGCCCCCACCCCTCACCCCCTTCTTTCACCCAGCCTACTAGGGTGTGTGACAGCTGGGCTTCCACTGCCCCTTAGCAAGCACAAATACACACACACAGCAGGCACATACACAGGAGTCAGGTCTGGGTCACCATGAACCTGGATTTTGAAATATGGCCTGGAAGGCACAGAACACACTGTAAAGCTGGAACTGACAGAGTCAGTCTGCACTGTACAGGTAGACAGCCAGGGGCCATGATATTCCTCTCTGAATGTGATTAGAGCCTCCTCACACATAGGTCACATTCAGAGAGGAATACCATGGCCCCTGGCTGTCTACCTGTACAGTGCAGACTGACTGTCAATTCCATCAGAAACTTGCCCCATTGCAATTAGCGATTTGGTTAGTCAACTGTTAGAAAATGGAGGGCCTTCCACAGCTATTTGTATGTGTCCATCACTTATTTCACCTGTTCAAGGAACCTATAAGAGGCTCTGAGATTAATGACATGTGATTAGGAGAGGAGGTAAAGGGGTTGATGTGCAGGGAAAAACAAGTAGGCTTCAAATGCCTCCAGAGAAACCAAGATCAGGGTCGTTTTCAGTTAGGGCAGAGAGGTTAGAAAAAAATGAGGGTTTCTTTGACAAGTTCACCAATGCTGCGTTTACACAGGGAGCCCATTTTAAAAAAATCATTTTCCAACAAATCACATCAGATATTTTTCAGAGCTGATCTGATTGGTCAAAATACTAACTAGTGAAACCTGTTCTCCCTTTTCGTCATGACCCAGTAGTTTCTCTATCAAAATGATACATCCCTTGCTGTCCATTTCAATAGTCTCCATAGGCAAAATATATAGATTGTGTAGTTTATATCATTACCATACACTGAGTATACAAAACATTAAGAACACCTGCTCGTTCCATGACAGACTGACCAGGTGAATCCAGGTGAAAGCTATGATCTATTATTGAGGTCACTTGTTAAATCCACTTCAAATCAGTGTAGATGAAGGGGAGGAGACAGGTTATAGAGGGATTTTTAAGCCTTGAGACATGGATTGTGTATGTGTGCCATTCAGATGGTGAATGGCAAGACAAAATATTTAAGTGCCTTTGAACGGGGTATGGTAGTAGGTGCGTGGTTCTGAAACATAATATTCAGTGCGCTGTAGAATTGGTGCCTTTCCCCATGTTGCTTTGTGGATAATAGCAGCATATTGGGATTGAGAACAATGCGGCAGAGGCAGCAGCGACAAGGAAATTGCCCTTGCCTTAGCCTAATTGTCTAAGAAAAGCGGAAACCCCAATTTAATTAGGTCTATAATCAATAGCCTAACTGTTAAATGTGCTTTGCTTTAAAAATCCTCCATATATACAGTTGAAGTCGGAAATGTACATACAGTGGGGGAAAAAAGTATTTAGTCAGCCACCAATTGTGCAAGTTCTCCCACTTAAAAAGATGAGAGAGGCCTGTAATTTTCATCATAGGTACACGTCAACTATGACAGACAAAATGAGGGAAAAAAATCAAGAAAATCAAATTGTAGTATTTTTAATGAATTTATTTGCAAATTATGGTGGAAAATAAGTATTTGGTCAATAACAATAGTTTCTCAATACTTTGTTATATACCCTTTGTTGGCAATGACACAGGTCAAACGTTTTCTGTAAGTCTTCACAAGGTTTTCACACACTGTTGCTGGTATTTTGGCCCATTCCTCCATGCAGATCTCCTCTAGAGCAGTGATGTTTTGGGGCTGTCGCTGGGCAACACAGACTTTCAACTCCCTCCAAAGATTTTCTATGGGGTTGAGATCTGGAGACTGGCTAGGCCACTCCAGGACCTTGAAATGCTTCTTACGAAGCCACTCCTTCGTTGCCCGGGCGGTGTGTTTGGGATCATTGTCATGCTGAAAGATCCAGCCACGTTTCATCTTCAATGCCCTTGCTGATGGAAGGAGGTTTTCACTCAAAATCTCATGATACATGGCCCCATTCATTCTTTCCTTTACACGGATCAGTCGTCCTGGTCCCTTTGCAGAAAAACAGCCCCAAAGCATGATGTTTCCACCCCCATGCTTCACAGTAGGTATGGTGTTCTTTGGATGCAACTCAGCATTCTTTGTCCTCCAAACACGACAAGTTGAGTTTTTACCAAAAAGTTATATTTTGGTTTCATCTGACATTCTCCCAATCCTCTTCTGGATCATCCAAATGCACTCTAGCAAACTTCAGACGGGCCTGGACATACTGGCTTAAGCAGGGGGACACGTCTGGCACTGCAGGATTTGAGTCCCTGGCGGCGTAGTGTGTTACTGATGGTAGGCTTTGTTACTTTGGTCCCAGCTCTCTGCAGGTCATTCACTAGGTCCCCCCGTGTGGTTCTGGGATTTTTACTCACCGTTCTTGTGATCATTTTGACCCCACGGGGTGAGATCTTGCGTGGAGCCCCAGATCGAGGGAGATTATCAGTGGTCTTGTATGTCTTCCATTTCCTAATAATTGCTCCCCAGTTGATTTTATTTCTTCAAACCAAGCTGCTTACCTATTGCAGATTCAGTCTTCCCAGCCTGGTGCAGGTCTACAATTTTGTTTCTGGTGTCCTTTGACAGCTCTTTGGTCTTGGCCATAGTGGAGTTTGGAGTGTGACTGTTTGAGGTTGTGGACAGGTGTCTTTTATACTGATAACAAGTTCAAACAGGTGCCATTAATACAGGTAACGAGTGGAGGACAGAGGAGCCTCTTAAAGAAGAAGTTACAGGTCTGTGAGAGCCAGAAATCTTGCTTGTTTGTAGGTGACCAAATACTTATTTTCCACCATAATTTGCAAATAAATTCATTAAAAATCCTACAATGTGATTTTCTGGATTTTTTTTTCCTCATTTTGTCTGTCATAGTTGACGTGTACCTATGATGAAAATTACAGGCCTCTCATTTTTTTAAGTGGGAGAACTTGCACAATTGGTGGCTGACTAAATACTTTTTTCCCCCACTGTACACCTTAGCCAAATACATTTAAACTCAGTTTCACAATTCCTGACATTTAATCCTAGTACAAATTCCCTGTCTTAGGTCAGTTAGGATCACCACTTCATTTTAAGAATGTGAAATGTCAGAATAATAGTAGAGAGAACGATCTATTTCAGCTTTTATTTCTTTCATCACATTCCCAGTGGGTCAGAGGTTTACATACACTCAATTAGTATTTGGTAGCATTGCCTTTAAATGGTTAACTTGGGTGAAACGTTTCGGGTAGCCTTCCACAAGCTTCCACAATAAGTTGGGTGAATTTTGGCCCATTCCTCCTGACAGAGCTGGTTTAACTGAGTCAGGTTTGTAGGCCTCCTTGCTCGCACACGCCTTTTCAGTTCTGCCCACACATTTTCTATAGTATTGAGGTCAGGGCTTTGTGATGGCCACTCCAATACCTTGACTTTGTTGTCCTAAACCATTTTGACACAACTCTGGAAGTATGTTTGGGGTCATTGTCCATTTGGAAGACCAATTTCCGACCAAGCTTTAACTTCCTGACTGATGTCTTGAGATGTTGCTTCAATATATCCACATATTATTATTATTATTATAATATCCCTTCCTCATGATGCCATCTATTTTGTGGCATGCACCAGTCCCTCTTGCAGCAAAGCACCCCCACAGCATGATGCTGCCAACCCCGTGCTTCACGGTTGGGATGGAGTTCTTCGGCTTGCAAGCCACCACCTTTTT